TATATTTTTTAAATGAAGGATGAACATTGCTTTTACTTTTTTCCTCGTTATTAAATATTTTGATGCAGCCATGAAACTTGACCTTCAGGAGATTGAAAGTAAGATGAAAACAAGTCTCGAATATTAAAAGCATTTTCGGCACTGTTCATTCCGTTTTCTAGTATTGGTTGCAGGAAACCAGTCTCGTTGTGATGTATTGGTTGCTGTATCTCATGTTGATTTAGATACTCTATTTCACAACTTCGCATAATATTATGTAAAATACATGTCGCTAGTATCAATGTGTCAACGTGAATCGGGTTCACATTAATACTTTTATTATAAATGCCAAATTTCTGGTACAATATTCCAAATGCATCTTCCACAACTTTGCGTGCTCGTGATAAACGTTCATTGAATATAGTTTGTGCCTCAGATAAGCCACGACAACGAGGGTATGGCCTCATTAAATTTTTCATTAGAGGAAACGCCTCATCTCCTATGTAAACATGTTGTATATCTCTGTTACTTCCAGGTAGTGGTTTATCGTTTGGAATATGTAATGAATTACTTTCAAGACGTCTTGCTAATTTCGAAGATGCAAATATTCCACCGTCACTATTTCTACCAAAAGCACCTATATCAACTATTATAAATCTATATTTATCATCAACCACAGCCAATAGGACAACAGAAAAGTGCTTTTTTATAATTAAAATACATTGAACCACTATTAGCAGGTGCTATGATGTTGACATTCTTCCCAGCTATAGCGCCGATGCAATTTGGAAAATTCCATCTGTCTTGAAATCCTTGAGCTATACTTTTCCACCGCTCTTCAATTGGCGTTGGAATGAAAATTCCCATTAATTTGTTTATGATTGAGTTACATACTTCTTGTATAATTGATCGGATTGTGGATTCGCCTAATCTAAAGCTTGAACTCAACGTCCTTGCTGAACTTCCCGTGATCATGTATCTCAAACAAAACTTTCTCTATTAATATTTCTAAACAAAAATAAACACACCTTAATACACAGACATCTCTTCACTTCGATTTTTTTCTTTTTCAGAATCAGAGTGCAAGAAAACATGGGCAAACTTAAGAGAAAGCTATAGAAGGGCAGTTGTTAAGAAACGCATAAAAAGCGGTCAGGCTGCTATCAAAAAAATGGCAATTTGAAGAAGAGATGTCTTTTTTGTTGCCGCATATGAAACAAAGAAAAACAATTTCATCATTAACGGAAGATGATAGTGAGGTTGACGATAATTTTTATGTTAATGAATTGTTGTCAAATCACGATGATTCTCCCATGTCATCGAATGACCCAGAACTTAATATCACCAACCGACCAGAATCTTCTTCAACAAATACGTCAGCAAACTCTCTTTTGTTTCCGAACATACCTAAAAGAAAGCGATTCAAAGGGACCCAAGAATGTACCTCAATATCAGCTCAACTTTTACAATATTTACTTAAAGAAAAAGAGACAAATAAGGATGACGAGATTTACAAGTTTTTTTCGAGCATTGCAACAACAGTAAAAAAATTAAATCGTTACAGCCAATCTGTTCTGAAATCTAGAATATTCAACATGGTGTCTGAATTTGAATTACAAGAAATCCAGGAACAAACTAATTTCTATGCTGGTTCTTCACGACACAATACTGATATCGAAAGTCCTTCGGGTTATAACACCTACAATACAGGACCTTCGGGTTGTAACACCCACAATATAGGATGTTCGGATTACAACCTCCATAATGCAGACCCTTCCGCCGGATCTTCGGATCATAACATCCATAATGCAGGCCCTTCCGGCTATAATACCCGCAATGCAGGATCTTCGGATTATAACATCCATAATGCAGGCCCTTCCGACTTTGATAAGCTCAAAGAACAGCTTTCAGGCAATAATCCTCCAGTCTTAGAAGAACCGATATTGAACAGTGAATTGGCTAATGCTACACAGAAAAATGATTCCTAAGATTAAAATGTGCTAGAAAACTGTTTGCTTATTCATTTTTAAGCAGTGATCGGAATAGGGTGAGTATATTTACCTACAGTTTGTAGAACAGAGACAAAAATCGGAGACTTACTTATAATTAAACAATTTTTACTATTAAATTTAACAGAACTTTAATTACGTCAATTTAAACGTCTTATTATTTCAATAAAAACATTTATTAATTCAATAAAAACAGTCGAATTCAAAACTTTTTTAAGTCATTAAAAATGTTGCACCATGTGAAAAAACTCGTAGGAAGATATTAACGCAATAAATGTTTTTATTGAATAAATAAGATGTAATTAAAGTTCTGGTAAATTTAATAGTAAAAAAAATTTTTGTTATAAGGAAGTCTCCGATTTTTGTCTCTGTTCCATAAACTGGAGGTAAATATACTCACCCTATTTCGATCACTGATGATAAGTAATGGAAATTAGAGACTGATTGGTACTATATTTTTTTTTTAAATAAATGTGTACAAATTTACAAGAAAAGTTTCTCTTTCACTTACCTTAACACGTTAAGTGCGAAACAGGGCTTGAAACGCCCTGTACGTGTCTTGTCTTTATAGCGGTAAGGAAAAACTTAAACTTCTCTGTCGTGCGCGAGGCATAACTTCCATCTGGTTCAATATAGGAAAGAGATAACTATATATCTGAGATGTGCTATTGATTCCTAGTTCTATGGTATACTTATTTTAATACCGGGTTTCTTAGACCTCGTGCCGCACTGAACAAATAAAATTCTAACACAGTGCGGTAAGAGGTTCCGAAAACCTCGTACCCCCGCGCACCTCGTACCGCACTCTACGCTAGCTTCACGCGGTTAGTGTTGTGCAACGCATGCCAGGCTGCGCACGCGACGAAGAACTGCTGTGGATTATGTCGAAACGTTGCCGAAGAAAGTTAATTAAAGAGGATGATGAAGAAAAACCGGGTGGTGAATCTGAGTCAAAATCGCTGATGATATTTCAAAAACAGGCCAGTCACTAATTAATATTTATAAATATACCTACTCCGAATAAATAATAATAATATAGATGAAATAATTATGTATTTAATAAATAAATTTCAGCTAAATAAGTACGTTAATTTTAAAATATTGTGTATAATATTGTATACTATGTATAGGGAGGGACTCCCAGCAGTGGGACTCGATAGGCTAGCTGTATATCTGTATAGTGAGGAATTATATTATAATCACGCTTTCTGTCCTTGATCAAAATGTTCAGTAGGTATATAGGTATATAGGAGGAGATACAGGAAACGTAGGTAATTGATATCCTTTTAAGGTAATTGTCACAAAACTCCGAGGACTTTTTTTTAATACGTCAGATTTGCTAGTGGGAATAAGTAGTTCTACTAGTCAACCTATCTGATTAAGTGTTTAAGTGAGTTTTATGATTTTTGATATCCACAGACAGCTATTATGAATTAACTACATTTTTATTTTGTTTTTAGCGATCTAGCATAAAGGATTACGGTATTTAACGGATCTGTGAGTACGTACTGAATAGTTGGAGTGGTGCTTTTAAGTTAACTAAGCTATATTTTTTGGCGTTTTTGTGTGAAAAGCTTAAGACGCGAATCATTAACACTTCTTCTATTTAGCGAGTGGGTCGCAGCGCAGGTCAATCGACCCAGCAAACCCTAGTGTCGAGAGTACACTAACACTAACACTAACTAACACTAACATCACTAATATACCTAATTTGTAATATTTGTAAAATTGACATTTGTGGAATGAACAACAGCAAAATATTATAAAAACCAGTTACATTTGAAAACCTGGAGTATAATAAAAAAATACAATGCTTCATGATTAAGCGATACCTCCTGCAACTAGCATGCTTGATTCGTTTTTCTTTAAAACTGCAATACTTAATAACAATAATTATACAATGAGCTCCGAACATAGCATGCTCCATTAAAAAATAATATTTACTGCTAACAAACAACTTTTGCGGAAGCCTTTCGCTAGCAGCTTAATAAAAATTGTACCGAACAAAATGATAGTTTTCGTATAAAAATTGATATCCGTGATTTATTTTGAACATACTGAAATTGGGTTTTTGTCGACATTTTGGTACTTTATAATCAAAACGAATAAATAACGTATAAAAAAGTTACCCTTACCATTTTGAGCTTTCAAATATTATTCATTGATAATTTTAATTAAAAGTGTTTTGAATGCCAGACCGCAAATTTATTTTGGCTTGGTAAATAATTCGTTGAAATCCTGAACATGATTACTCCATTTACGCCACGTTTTGATCGGTACACTCAATAAACAGCCATTCACACCCGAGCTGCGGCCTGTATTTGTAAAATACTATTAAAGGTAGAGGTATCTATTGTTTTTCAGAGCCCACCAAGTTGTAATACCCCGCAAAATGAAGATTCTAGTGATGAAGAGATTTTTTCAATAAAACGTTTTAAGATATCTGACACTGTTGAAATAGAAAAAAATAAAAATTCAATTGAATATAGAGCACCACAAGATGTAAATTTAAGTAAAGAAATTCAACCGACTGATATTCGAAAACCAAAACATATTATGAATAAACATGCAACCTCAATCATTATTACAAATACAGGAAAATTACATAACAAAGCAAAAACGGGACTTAGATATTCCAAAAATAACGATGTAAGGAACCGTGTTGAAGCCATAGAACAAAAAGAAACAATTTATTTGAGTCCAAGTACCGGAAAAACCTGTCAAGTTTTACAAAATGTTACCTTTCCCTCTTCTAGTGCCCCAACCACCCCAAGACATCAGATTAAAAAACAAAACAAAAATTCGTCATCTCTATGTTCACCTTCATTAGACTTCCGTCATATAGTTTCTGAGAGCAGGGCTAGTTCTTTATCAGAAATTTCACGCTCCAATTTACTAGACTGCGATTTATCTCTTAATGAGGAAAATTTAAAGGAACTACTTAAAACACCGGAACAAAAGAGATCAAGTAAATAATATATGTCTGAATTTGCAGTTTCAGACGACTCTAATTTGTCCACATGTGCAGAAAAACGAGAAATAGAGGTTTCTGTGATTGTTGAAAATGTTTCGAAGGATGTTGATCGAAAACAACAAAACAGGTGTAATAAATTGTCAACTATACTTAAATTGCCTGGTTCAATAGACTATGATAGTATTGAAAATTTGAATAGCGATGACGAGATAACTGAAGACAGAACTCGTGATAATTTACAGGATATTTCAAAATCACCTGATGCCAATAATTATAATAATATCGAAGATGTTAGTGACAACGGGGATGATAAGGATTATAGTCCTTCTAATGACAATTCAAGCGATTCGGAAGGATCTGATAATTATTCATTAGAGGTTTGCATAGACGAGGAACAGGAATTAGAAGATGAAAATGAAGATACAGAAAACGAAACTTTAGACGCAGAAGAGGCATTGCCCGACCGCCAAACTAACAAGAACGATGACGATGAGTGGGAAGACATATTGGAGAGTCCCGTAAATTTTGATGAATTTGTTGGGGAAAATACTTACAATATACCGCCGTTTGTAAAATCACCTGAAGATGTATATAAGTTATTTGTAACAGATGAGATGATCAATAAAATGACATTGGAGACAAACAATTATGCACAAAACTATTTACGAACAAACCAACAAAATATAAAACGTAAATCACGTATGAAAGAGTGGACTAATACTAGTTTTCAGGAAATGAAAACATTTCTGGCAGTTGTGATGGCAATGGGTTTATGTAAAGTACCTCATATAAATTTGTATTGGAGCAAGAACAAATTATACAGAAACGAATTTATACGTTCAGCAATGACAAGAGACAGATTTTTACTCCTATTAAAATGCTGGCATGTCAGTGATGTCTCAAATGATGATAAAACTGACAAACTACATAAAATCAGAGATATGCTTTCGATGATCACTGACAAATTTCAGAATATATTAAACCCCGGAAAATATGTAGTAATTGATGAGACAATGATACCCTGGAGAGGGCGATTAGGTTTCCGTCAGTATATAAAAAACAAATCTCACCGATATGGCGTTAAGCTGTACAAACTTTGCACCCCCGAAGGTTATACCTACCAAATAGAGATTTATACAGGTAAAAAAGATCAGAAGCGAGAAGTCGATCACAGTCAGAAAGTAGTATTAAAATTGATGAACAATTTGACAGAAGAGGGAAGAATCGTAATAGTAGATAATTTCTATACTTCGTTGAGTCTGGCAGAAAAACTCCTATCACAAAAAACTTTTCTATGTGGAACTTTAAACATAAGAAGAAAATATTTGCCAAAGAAAGTTATTAATGCGAAAATAAAAAAGGGCCAGATTATTGGAAAAATGAACAAAAAGGGCGTGAAAATATTGCACTGGGTAGATAAAAGAAAAGTTTTAATGTTGACTACGTGCAAAGATCATGACGATAAACTAATAGATACTGGGAAAAAGAAGAGAGGCACTAACGAAAGTATTAAAAAACCCGGATGTGTTATAATGTACAATGAAACAAAAAAGGGAATTGACTACAGTGATCAAATGTCTTCGTATTATACAACATTAAAGAAAGGAATTAAATGGTGGAGGAAAGTAATAATGGAGCTAATATTTGGTACAGCCCTTATTAACGCCTGGATTGTGTATAATTCAATTAATGATGATAGAAATAAAATGCCAAAGAGACTATTTGTGGAACAAGTTATTGAAGCTTTTACAAAGAAAGACTTGGACGTGGATACAGGTAATTTTCAAATATCCTAACTACTCGTTATATGTTAATGGAAACGTGAATGTGACATGTTGAGTAACTTTCTTCAAATAGGCTGATGATCATAATAACTATTAATGTGTTTGTTTATTGAATTAACTAGCGGACCCGGCAGACGTCTTGATCATCAAAATTTAACTCTTTTGCCCAACTTTACCCAACTCTTCTCTACTCTAACCAACTTTACCCAACTTCTATCCGACTCTACCCGAATCTACCTTACTCTTACCTTAATCTACCCAGCTTGACCCTACTGCACAATTTTCTTAATGTTTTTCTTTTATAAGAACCTTCTCTTGACAATAGCAAATATAACAAAAAAAATATTAGCGAAATCTGTTCAGCCGTTCACGCGTTATGTCGTGCCGATTTCGCTAATTCTTTTTTTGATGTGTTTGCTTTTGTCAGGAGAAGGAATAAAAAAAAAATAACAATGTTGCGCAGAGTAGAGTCGAGTTGGAACTGATTATTATATCTAAAGTTTTGTAACGTATTATCATGCATTTACACATATTAAGTCCCTTATTACGCTTTTAAACTAATTAAGGGCCAACCCACACGGACCACCACCACGCGACAACCACAACCACACCACAACCACACCACAACCACACCACGTGGTACGTGTGAATTAAACTATTCATTTTCAATACAAAATATGCGCCCGACCACGTGGTGTGGTTGTGGTGTGGTTGTGGTTGTCGCGTGGTTGTGGTCCGTGTGGGTTGGCCCTAATCCGCTTCACAAATACACATTTTTTTATTTTCAGAAGCCACTGCAAACAATGCACATCATCTCGAAAAGGGATCAAAGAAGAGGAGATGTGTAGGATGTTACGATAAACTCCGCGCCTTCTTGACAAGTCGTGAGGCTGACAAGAAAGTGAAGAAAATTCTCACAGAATGCACTAGTTGCAAAAAATATTATTGCTTGACGTGTTTTAATGAAAAACATCCATAACTTTGATAAATAAATACAATAAAATAAAATCGATATTTATTTTCCCATCACTAAATAATATGAAAATCTGCTATTTTTCAGTGCGGTACGAGGTACATCAGACCCCACATTTTATTTTACCTATAGAATCTAAACTAAATAATCTAACCATAGGCGGCGGCAGATACAGGTTAATGAACTCATTGTTAATAATAATCGCGACAAAAGCTGTACAATTTGTCATATTTGGCACCAAAAAAAGGATTTTGGTCTCCTAAGGGCGGTGGGGTTTAATAAGCCTCGTGCCGCCACAATGTCTGGTTTAAGACAAGGTTTTAAACGCCTCGTAACGCAGTAATGGAAAGTACGGATCAATCTGTGCCGCTGGGAACGTGTTAACGTGACAGCAATTTTTTCTATTGGTGTTATTGCTTGTCTGAATTTCATATTCTTTTTTGTTATGTCTTTTTCAATAAATGATAATATGTAGTCAAATAAATACCGATCCATATGAAAGTAAATGTAGAATTTTTCTGTGTCTCTGGATCTGCCAAAATTCTCATTCTGCATGTCTTGCTTTCAGCATTTTATGCACCCAAAATCTTCGCCTGTTAGTTTTTGCACTTCTCTCTTCATCCTCAAGTGCTGTAGCGGACAGCGAGGACGCCGCCGCCCCGTCGCCCCTTCACACCCCGGTGCGCCCCGCGCACCCCGCATACCGGCAGCAGATCACGCGATGTCGCCGACCAATGAGCGCGCGGCATCGCGGACGACGCTACTCACGAACCGAGACGCTCTCTGGCGACATATAAGAAGGGCGTCTCGGTCTGTGAGCTGTTCATTTTGGAAGCGGCACTCGAAGAGAAGAAACAGCAAGAGAAATCAAGAAGAATCAAGACTCCATAGAAATTAAGAAGACTCCCCTCTGTATAGTGTAGTTAATAGTGCCACATTGTAAATAGTTTGAATACAGTATAGTTCGACAGTACCATCTTTTCTTTAAGCAGTTTCCCTAGCGTACTCAATAATACAGTCCACTGCGATCCCTAACAAGTTCTTGGTCCATCGTCGTCGGATTCAAGCCAGAAGAAAGAAGAAAGAACATATTTATAGAAGAAAGAACATATTTATAGAAGAAAGAACATATTTATAGAAGAAAGAACATAATTATAGAAGAAAGAACATAATTATAGAAGAAAGAACATAATTATAGAAGAGAGAACATAATTATAGAAGAGAGAACATAATTACAGAAGAAAGAAGATCATTACAGAAGATCTTCGAGGAAGAAAGAAGTACGTCGACGAAGAGAGAAGATCGTCGGTGCTAACTCCTTCCTCGTTTCTTGCTTACATCTACGTCATATATATTGTCTGTTTCCAGACAATTCCTGTTTCTTAAACCGCGTTTACGCGGCCGGGTGGTTGCTCCCTAACGGTGCCAAACTGTGACCATCTGGTAACGCCCTTGAGGCGGGAACGGCGTCCAATACGTGCGACTTTTTGAAGACGATCGGAGGTCGCAACGAGGGACACCATCATGCGGAAGACAAGAAGCCAGAAGATACGGAACGACGACGAAACGCCAGTAGGAATGCGGATATTCGAGGAAGCACCCGCGTCCCCGTCCGATTATCTCGCGTTGGCACAAGCGCCCTCCGCCGCGCCGCAGCCCCCGCTCGCGCCCGCATCTATGCCCGCGCCCGCGCCCGCGCCGCCGCGCCCCGCTATGTCCGTGTCTACAACCGATCGCTTGGGAGAAGTTAGCACATCCGCGCCGCGCACATAAACTCTCGCCGCGATAATAGAAGATCTTCCGACTACAGAAACTAGTTCGATAGTGCGTACCGTCGCGCCTGTAGCAGACGTTGTACATAGGCCCGCGTCCCGCGCCCCGTCGGTCAGTTCAATCCGTTCAGCCCGGTCGACAGCTAGCGCAGTAGCAAGATTAAAACAAATCGAATATAATGCCGCGGAGGAACTAGCTGCAATTAGGAGGAAGCAATTGCAAATCGAGGAAGATCTCATCAAGAAGAAGTATGCTAGGGATATCGCGCAACTGCAAGAAGAAACAGATAGGGAAAGCCTAAACGAGGACGAATTAGTCGAAAATAGGGTACGCGTTGATAGGTGGTTAGAAAACGTAGAGACTGTGCGGGGGGAGCCGCCCTACCGCCCATCTCAGCCCGCGCCCCGCATCGAGATAGAGCAGGCTCCGCCGAGTAGGGGAACCGGTTACGACCACGCTGAAGATGCCCAGGGGAGGTTGGTTGCGAATGACGTTCAACCGCGCCGCGTAAATACGACACAGAGGGATAATGGAGTCGCCGTAGAAATGAACCAGGTGGATCGTCGTGTACGGGTTACGTCACCGTCGCGCGTCCAACGCCGCACTCTATCGCCTACACATAGATCGCCACATCGCCACGCGGATCGTAGATTACCGTCGCCGTGTCATAAGGATGTAGGTGCACGTAGATCGCCATCGCCACATCACCACGCGGATCGTAGATCACCGTCGCCGTGTAATGATGTAGGCAGAGATAAATCGCCACATCGCCTTGCGGATCGTAGATTACCGTCGCCGTGTCATAGGGATGTAGGTGTACATAGGTCGCCGGCGCCACAGCGTAGGCTAGAAGGAAATAGGGATAGAGATAGGTCGCTCACCCCGCGAGGGAAAGGTAGGGGTATAGAACGGCTAGCGGAAGCTTTAGAAAGCATGGTTAGGGTTAGACCAGCCGCCGCGAAACAGACGCAGGACTTGCCTATTTTTAACGGCTCGGCCGCGGAATGGTTAGCATTTAAAGCCGCGATGAATGAATCCACGCGTTTATATGGATTCACAAATACGGAAAATATGGCAAGATTAAGGAACTGTTTACGCGGTGAGGCTAGAGAGGTAGTATCGGCTCTGCTATTTACCGCGAAGGATCCGGCAGACATTATGCGGACACTGGAGCAGTGTTTCGGTCGCCCGGAAGTAATTATAGATCGTGCGTTAGAAGAATTAAAACGCCTTCCGCGCCCAGGTCAAACCGCCCAAGAATTAAACTCGTTCGCGATTAAATTACAAAATATAGTGTGCATTATGCAGAACGTCGACGGCAAGGGTTATTTGCGTAATCCAATGCTGACTAGGGAGGTTACTAGTAAACTTAGCCCTCACTTACGGTCGCGTTGGTGCGATTATGCGGAGCACTACGGAAGTGCGGACGAACCGGACATCGTTACGTTATCCCGGTTCATGATGAGAGAGGCTGACCGTGCGTTAAGTTATGCCTATACGTCCGTAACGTCGACTAAGGAATCGCCCGTAAGACGAGAGACGCCGCCGTCGAAAAGAATAGTGTTAACACGCCGCGTAGAAGATAGGGCCCGCGACGTAAAGACGTTCACCGCCCAGGAGGACACCGGTAGTGCCTCATGTATGTGTTGCGGGGGTGAACACCCTATCTTCAAGTGTAAAGCCCTTCTCCCATTACGATACGCACAGGCGATTCAAGTATCCTGCAAGTCTTGGCGACTAGTCGCCGCCAAGTATCTCACATACATTTGAATGCAGGCTCGCACACTACGCTACTGGTATCCTACGCGTCCGCGACTAGTATGGCGCGACTCGCTGTGTTGGTCGCTTGTGCGTCGCGTCTCCTGTGCGTCTCGACAAGATGGCGGCGGAGCAAGAAATAAATATTAAGTTTGTACAAGAAGTTGAAAAACATGCTTGTTTATATAACTACAAATTACCAGAATACATGCGGAAAAATACAATAGATAGGACTTGGGCAGAAATTGGGAATAAATTTCAAATAACAGGTTTGTTTTGTTTATACATAATAAGTAGTTTATTAATCAATGTTACATTGTATTTTGTAAACAGTATTGGTATTGCCAAGGCAATGAACCTTGCTCAGATATAAAGTAGTTTGCTAAATAATTTCGTTGGTTGTGTGGTGACATAGTTGCAGTTATTTCTATATTTTGAGGTTGTATAGTCATAGTAACGGGAATAGTGACCGATCTGTTTTGTATTACCTCCCTTGGACTATATAGAATACCCTCATGTTGTCGAACAAAGTTGTGTAAAATACACACTGCTTTTATTATATTTGATACTTTTTCTATTGTATGACATCTTATAGCTGTACTTAATACTTGAAATTTCTCAGTCATCATTCCAAAAGCACATTCAATTGTATTCCTCCCTCGGCTTATTCTGTAGTTAAACACCCTTCTCAAGTCATTTAAGGTTCTTTGGGGATATGGTCTCATGAAGTAAGATAGAAGGGGAAATGCCTCATCCCCAATAAAATAGTATGGAAATTCATAGTTAGATGGGTCATTAGGAAGTTTGGAAGGTAAAGGAATATTAAGACGTCCATGTTCAATCCAACGTTTGATCCTGGAAGCACTGAAGATTCCACCGTCGCTGTTCCTACCAGCATAGCCAGTTTCGATAACAGTAAATAATCCATCGGCATTACAACATGCCATTAATACTATCGAATGGTAGGATTTGTAATTACAATTACTTGATCCCGAATTAGGTAATTTTTCTATTCTGATGTGTTTACCATCACATGCCCCTAAGCAGTTGGGTAAATTCCAGAGGCGATCAAAACGAGCAGCAATGTCTTTCCAATGTTGCACATTTGGTAATGGCATATAGTCTCTATTTAATATCTCCCATATTATAACTGTAGTTTCAGCTATGACCTTGCAAATTGTATTATCTCCTCTTGCAAAATACAATCCTAGGCTTACAAATGAACAACTTGATCCCAAATATCTGTAATTAATAACAATTAATATTAAGGTTATTTTCAGGATCAGAAGCTAAAGAAAAGTGGAAAAATCTACGTAGTGTTTTTGTTCGCCATTTGAAACCGCCTAAAAGTGGAGCAGGGACTGCGCAAAAAAAACCATACTACTTAGCTGATTTTATGCAATTTACTATACCGTTCATAAAAACAGCAGGAAAACCATCAGGAAATTTGAACGAGACAATAGAAGATAATGACA